ACTTGTCTGTCAATGTTGCTTATTCTTTCAAAGAACCACCTTTTATTTTTATCAATCTTTTGTAAGGTTTCTCTCACCTCCATTTCGTTCATTACAGCTCTGACTTTGGTTATTTCCTGTCTTGTGCTAGCTTTGGAATTGGTTTACTCTTGTTTTTCTAGTTCCTCTAGTGTGATGTTAGGTTGTTAATTTGAGATCTTTCTAACTTTTTGACGTGCACATTTAGCACTATCAACTTTCCTCTTAACAGTGCTTTAGCTGCGTCCCAGAGATGTGGCATGTTGTGTTTTTGTTTTCATTAGTTTCAAAGAATGTCTTGATTTCTGTCTTAATTTCCTTCTTTACCCAAAAGTCATTCCGGGGCAGATTATTTAATTTCCATCTAATTGTATGGTTTTGAGAGACTTTCTTGGTATTTATTTCTATTTTTATTGTGATGTGGTCTGAAAGTGTGGCTGGTATGATTTCGTTTTTTGGAATTTGTTGAGAATTGCTTTATGGGTTTAGCATATGGTAAATTTTAGAGTACGTGGCATGTGCATATGAGAAGAATGTATATTCTGTTATTGGCTGCAGTGTTCTGTACATGTCTTTTAGGTCCATTTGATCAAGTGTTGAATTTTTATCCCGAGTATCTTTGTTAGTATTCTGCCTTGATTATAGGTCTAATACTGTCAGATGGGGGTTGAATTATTTCACTATTATTTTGTGCGATTATCTAAGTGATTTTGTCAGTCTCTACAGACTTGTTTTATGAGTCTGGGTGCTCCAGTTTTGGATGCATATATATTTAGGATAGTTAAGTGTTTTTATTGAATGGAACCCTTTATTATTAGGTAATACCCTTCTTTATCCTTTTGATCATTGTTGGTTTAAAGTCTGTTTTGTCTGAAATAAGAGTAGCAACCTGTGTTCTTTTGTTGTTTTCTGTTTGTCTGATAGATTTTTCTTCATCCCTTTACTTCGAGCCTGTGGGGGTCACTGTATGTGAGAGGCCTCTGAAGTTGGCTTTTGCTTCTTTGTCAAAGACGCCACACTGTGCCTTTTGAGTGGGGTGTTGAGCCCATTTACGTTTAAGGTTAATAACAATATGTGCAGATTTGAGCCTGTCATCATGTTGTTAGCTGGTGGTTATGTAGACTTGATTGTGTAGTTGCTTTATAGTGTCAGTGGTTTATCTCCTCCTTCTGTTCTTGGACTAGCAACCAAGAAACAAAGCACCTAGCCTGAGTGCCTTGGGCTCACCAACACTGTAATTCAGGACAAAACCCTTGTAATTTTGCAAATGGTGGGGTTTTTAAATAGGCTGGACTTCAACACCTTGTTTTCTAAAAAGGAAAAATATAACCATGTCCAAGACCTAGCTTTTCTCACAAGTGAAGTAACTGAGATAGGTCCAAGGGAAATATTCCAAAGCAGTGGATTCTGAAGTCAAGCCTTCCAAAGATTCACATTTTGAAAGCTCTACGAATTTAGGAGAGTCCTCCAGGAAAATTTGTTGCCCACCGAAGGGCTTCTTTGTGTAGGTACCATTAATCCTAAGGAAATAATTAAAATACAGCCTCTAGTGGAAAATTCTATCCACTGACAACTGATGGATTGTCAGTGGACAAGCTTCAGATCTTATGATGCGACAGCAGTATCTCTGCACAGCACGTGGACGGCTGTGGGGGCATCGGGGGCACAGATGTGGTAAGAAGAGCAGCCTGTGTTTGCACAGCTCCTTTGCTAGTGCTCAGGGTGCTGAGGTATTCACTCTGGGGAGGATCCAAGGGCTTGGGAAGGGCAATCATGAGGGGCCCCTGTGCACATCCCAGGCCTTGCATTTCTGCAGACCTCCTGCCCTGAGCCACTGAGAATCATGCAGGCTATAGGAGTTCCCTCTCTGAGTCTCCACTTTAGGGAAAAGACATCGTAAGTTACAGAAACAGGACAACCAGGGATGCCCTCCTTAGCAAGCTTCATGTAGGGAAGTGGCCCAGGACTTGTTGCGACAGACCTGAGGGCAAGTGCCTTGTGATGCTGGGATCAAGGTACAATGTCATGGGATACCTTCAACCAGGGCCTCTCCCACTGAACCTCTTGAGCAAAGGTGGTAGGGGCACCCCAGGGTTTCACCTTCCGCTCCTTGGCTAGTTTGTCATCGAAATGGCAAAGCTGAGCCAGGAACCCATCACTGGGGCTGATCTCATAGTTCTGCCTTATGATACTCAGGAGGGACTTGATGTCCAACTTCTGACACATCATGAGGTACATGATAACTAGAGCTGGAGATGGCTGTAACTTCCCAGCACTGGACGAGCACCTGACCATTCTTTTGAGCCAAGGCCTGGTTAGTGAAGTCTGTAGCCCTTTCAAAGTAGGTGCTGAGGTTGAACTCCTGCACTTCTTTGGCCTTGATGCCCAGGTAAGTGATGCCATGGTCCTTGGAGAAGTTGGCATTGTTTATGTGCATGAAAGACCTGCCCTCAGTGGTGTTCAGGACATGAATAATGCCCAGTTTCTGAAGCTTGGGGATCTCCCGAGCCACAGATGTGTTGCCCATGTAAATCCTCAGGGTGACCTCATTGCAGGGCTGGCCTGGGAGGCTGTAGCAGCCACTGCTGTCTGAGAGCGGGTCATTGAGATGCTTCATGGAGCGTTTCGAAAGGGCCAGGCACACTGAGCAGGAGCCAGCAAGGGGGAGTCTGGCAGGCCCTTTTGTCCTTTTTAATTCACTGAAGTTTTCCTGCCAAATAAACGAATGCCTGGCACATCACAGGAGATCAATGTGTGTGAAGTGAATGAATGAATGAGTGCTGCTAAGAGCCAGAAATTAATCTAGAGGTCAGTGGGAAGCCACAGACGGATTCTGTGCAAAGAAACTAATATAATCTGATCTGAATGTTTGGAGGACACCGCAGAGTAGCCCTGGCCACACGTACAATTCCACATCTGCATACAAAGAGACTGGAGAAAAAGAAGACAGGAAACTCACCCCGTTCAGAGCCATTGATGCCTGAGCCTGGCGGGCCTTGTTGCTGACGCTTCCTCCCCACATGCAAATGCAGACAGAGGCCAGCACGGCTGCTCAGAGCGCACACAGCTCACCGTGGCTGCAACGGAGATCCGTGTCTGGGAGGGACTTTGGAACATTTGTGTCATTGTCCTGATGACTGGCCATCACTCACAGCACCCACGTGCTGTCCGAGACAGAATGGAGGGTCCTGTCGTCCAAAGAAGGAGTTCAGGCCTGCCAGGCCAAACAGAGTGGTTCTGAGCAGCACGCAGATGAGGCCCCTTTCTGGGCAGTGGGAAGCAGTGTTCTTAAGCACTAGGAAATGCTCTTTCTCTTGCTTTTCTTCTTTCTTTTTCTTGTTTCTTTTCTTTTTTCTCTTTTCTTTTCTCCTTCTCCTTCCTTCCTTCCTTCCTCCCTCCCTCCCTCCCTCTCCTTCCTTTCTTTCCTTTCTCTCCTTTCTTTTTTTTTTTTGAGACAGAGTCTCCCTCTGTTGCCCAGACTGGAGTGCTGTGATGCTATCTCGGCCCGGCCGATATTTCTTAACAGTTTTGGTCTACACAAGCAATGTAAGAGGAAGAAGCCTCTGAGGCCAGAAACCTGGGTCAGGGCTGCCCTTAAGATAAGGAATGGCCCCAGCACCCAGCAGGGGCACCACACATGAGCCTGTTCCCTTGGATGCTGGGCCATGCCCAGGTGGGCGGGCCTCCCCGGTCCTACACAGGGCAGCTGTCTCTGGAGGCCACCAGAGCAAGGCCACAGGAACCCTAGGAGGGGGAGTTTTCTGGTGACTGGGGCAGCTGTAAGAGAATGCCACAGACTGGGGGCTCAAACAGCACACATCTCCTGTTTCACAGTGCTGGAGGCAGGAAGTCCAAGATCTAGATGTCAGCCGGATTGGTGTTTCTGAGGCCTTTCTCCTTGGCCTGCAGACAGCCACCTTCCTGCTGTGTCCTCACACGCAGGTGCATCCCTGGCGTACCTCTGCATGTCCTGATCTCCTTCTCATAAGGACATCAGTTATATAGGGTCAGGGCCCACCCTGATGACCTCATTTAACCCAGATTACCTTTTTAAGGGCTTCACCTCCAAAGTCAGTCACTTTGGGGGGTTAGGATATCAACATATGGATTTGGGGGGACACAGTTTGGACCATAGCTATGGGGTGTTGAAGCAGGATGCTGAAAGTTTCCAAAGGAGGTGGCCTTCCTTTGAAGGGACCTCCAAGGCTCAGGTGAATGTGGACAGGTAGCCACCTCAGAGAAAAAGGCCCCCATTCCTCCTCAGCACCAAGAACACCTGTAACTCCTTTGGAACTTTTATCTCTGTATTTCAGATCACATGCACAGTCTCTGTTTTACAGACGCTAAAATAAGTGAGTTTAGATGAGTATTCATGAACACGTTTTCCCGCATGTGGGAGATTTTCTCCTTTTGACTCATGTAGTTTTCAAGGGCCCATCCTGCTATTGTCCTCCCGGCTTTGAGCTGCCTGCAGTGTGTGCATTCTCTGTCACACATGCACACCTGCGTGCACACATATATGCATGTGCACACACGTGCTCACATGACAACCCCAAATTGAAACACAATTGCACTTCCAGAGCATTGCCCACCCTGACGGACACCACGCCTGCTGCCCTGATAAATGGAGACCAGTGTGTATTCCCAGAGTGTATGCGGGCAGCAGAACGTGCACTCAGTGATGGTTTTTGGTGAATGTTTAAACACTGCCATTTTGGAAGTCAAGTGTCAGCAGCAGCAGGGTGGGAGGTGTGGCATTCCCACAGCTCTGAAAGGAACACCCCGTGAAGGTTCGAGGATGCCCCTTTGGGAACACAGCCTCCACTGGGAGGATCCAAGTGGGCTGGGGCTGTGGGAGCACTTTGCTTGACAAGGGTAGTTAGAGTGGACCAGAAGGCGTGTTTCCGGGAAATATTTTCTCCATTTCCTCTCTACGTAGGTCTCTCAGATTTCTTAGAAAGACACACAATTCAGGTGTCTCCTTAAGGACCATTTTATTATTTTCCAGAAAGTAGAAATAAAAGAGGGGGTAGAGAAATATCAGAATTCTCAGAGCATGTCTTAGCCTGCCAGGGAGTAGATTTTTGTCATTGTGGGAGCTAGAGGTAGAAAAAGATAAGGAAAGGAGTGAACCAATGAGGAAACACCGCTGCTTGGCAGGCCAGCATCTTGAATGTCCTCATCACACGAGTGTGTCCTGGATCCCATCCAAGGCCCTCCAGGAGTGGATCTGCCTCTAGATTTCCTGCTCTTATCCACTCTGTTGCTAGATCACAGAAGCAGCGCCATGATTTATTATTTAACAACCTACAAAACATTATTATAGAAATGAAACATTAAGCAGGAACTGTGAAGCCATTTACAGTGGAATCAACAAGACAGCAGGACGTTTGATGTGAGAGAGAAGGACTGCTCAGGAGACAAGTCATCCGTGAAGCATGGAACCGCCCCATCCTGAAAACAAACACGCTTTAGAGTAACTGAGTTTAAATACTCCTAAACCAGATACCGTTTATAAGAATGTATCCTTTTATATTATAGTCATGCCGAATTAAGTTTGAGGACTGTTGCTCTGCAGCTATACACAGATACATTGCAAAATCACTAACAGCTTAAGCTAAAATGGTTTCCCTTTTACTGAACTGATAGTACAATTTAGAATTACAACTTCTTTGAGGCTAGCTAGATTAGCGTGCTAAACACCCCTAAGCATTCTGTGCAGTGTGATAAGAGTTATCCACGTCCAAGTCCACCCCTCTGCAGAGCCTGTTCCATCCTCCCACCTAGAGTTGTGCTTTTCTGCAGGACTTACTATATATTCATGAGCTTGCATGAATTACTATCATTTATCTGCAAAAACTACTACATTGAGTATATTCTCCTAGAGGGTGGAATCACATCTGACTTATTTCTAGATGAGTTACCGTGCCTAGCCCCCCAGCCCCTGAGAAACTAGTTTTGCTTTGCTGTCGCAGATCACCCGAGGGGCAGCCGTAAGAGCCTGGAGGCCGACCCAGCTGCGCTGAAGAAGAATTTCTTATTAGACTCAGAAAATATCCCTTCAGTTTTGGCTCTGATTCCTTTAAAAAACAGAGCAGAGGCTATGGTGGCTAGACCCAAGGGATGAAAGGAAAATTGGTCTATAAACTGCAGTTGTTTTCAAGCTGATGTCAAGTCTAGAGAAAACAAATCAGTGTAACTGTATACACCTGTCTTCCCAGGACCAAAATGGGAAGACAAGTGATTATGGAAGCAGTAGTGTCTAAGGACCACCAGGGAGGAGGTATCTAAAACACCTCAGTGACAAAAGAGAGGAGAAGTACAACTGCATGGTGTAGGACAAGAGACAACTAGTCACCACTAGTGGGAGGCTTCACGTAATTTCAGCTTCTCTGCACGGTTATGTCAAAAGAGAATTACCACCAATTTAGTTTAAAGATTAACTGGATTTTATTTGCAATTCTAGAGTTGGGAAGCTCCTCATTCTGTAAAACAGAGTAAGTGTTCAGATGAACTGACCTGATGAGCTTGGCTTTCTAGGAACAAAAGGGCTGAAGAAAGCGGAAACAGGGAGCGAAGAGTGGACTGGTCATTTCAGTTACTTTCCTCATAGCGTTAAAACACAGAGGACCTCGTTATTACGTTAACTCAGATAAACTAGAACCTCTTGGGATTTTTGAAAACTGGCCTGTTTCAAAGTTGAATTGGATTATGTGGAACATGAGTGAGGCCATCCTAGTTTGTTCTGAGATGCTGGAGCCTGGTGCAGGGGCGCATCCAAAACAACAGCCTGCCATAAACTGTAACACTTACGCACAGAGCTTCTTAAAGGAAGTCATTCCCATGAAGTTATATTTCCAAAGTTCAGAGGGTGAGCACCTTTTGGAACTTCATTTCAACCAGGTCATGTTTCACCACTGTGCTGGCCTTCCAACACTGGCCTACGTACTCGACTGCTCCACATAGCCAGCCCCGCACTTGTGGTGAAAGCTGCACAGGCAGGATTGCGGAGGGTGCATGTGTGCTCGTTTGCAACCTGGGATTGGAGGTGAGTTTCAGCGAAGGGGGAAACTCAGAGTTTCCAAAGTTTATTATGGAGTGCTTCCAAGGAAACAGTCTAGTATTAACCATTGATTTGGTGAGGTAGAGCAGTATTTTTTAGAAGGTAAAATCACAGACTTTGGCATCGCTAAGATGTGTGATTGAGCCTCAGTCTTGCTAACTGAGGCAGTCTGGAGAAGTCACCTCACCTCTCAGAGCCAACTTACCTCTGATGGGCTCAATGTCAGGATTCAGTCTATAGGGTTTTGCTGTGAAGACAAAGGCATCGTTATTGCTTTTTAAACAGTTGGGGAGTGCTAGTTATCTAGTAATGGTAGTCATAGCAACAGCAGTGTTTTTAACCGTGGAATGTGAAATGAACATTCTGATTAGATGCAAGGCTACTTAAGGAGATGGCCGTGAGATGCCGACAAGGCCCCTACAAGGGCCATGATGGCCGCTTCGAGTTTGCTGGGGACAGACCTTCCTCTCCTCCTGAGTCCTGGTCCCTTTTTCTAAAGGCAAGGTTTCCGGTTAAATCCTCAAACGAAAACAATGTAGGCATTTAGGGCGATGGCTACTGACTTAACTTTCCAGTTTTGGGTAAACTGCATATGAAGAAAAAAGCTGAATCTTGTTATTTAAAAAAATTCTATATACTTTGTATACATTTCTTTCTATACATTTCTAAGTGAATTCGAAGGTTAAATGCAGGTGCCTCATCTTCTTAACTAGCTTCCTTTAATTCAAAAATTTCTAAACAGATTTAGCCACAAATCTAACTGAAACTCTCACATCCACATTTTTTTTTTTTTTTTTGGTAGGAGACTTGACTCATTTCATCAAATAGCTTTTGAGAATCCTGGTCACTGGTATTGAAACAACATTGCAGGGTGCTGAGTGTTTGTACAGGCCCTGCTGGCAAGGTGAGACTCATCTCCTCCTTTGGAGAGCTTCAGGGAGAGTAAAGCTCCTTCTCTGCCAGTCTGTTCTTGGAAAAACAAACTGAAACGTAACAAAACCCAAAAGGTCCAAAACCTGTGATTAGCTATTAAAATAAGTTGCATGGAACCCTATGGCTATTAGTATCATCGCTCATATTGTGTAAATGCATGGCCAGATCACAGATTTGTGTTTTGCATTTATTCCCATTGCCTTCTTTTCTTTTTCTTTTGTCCTAGATAAGTCTGCCAGTTTCTTAGCTGATTTTTACTCTATGCCATATTCCTCCAATACGCCTTTTAAAAGAAGCAGCTGGCATGTTTTAGACAACTCCTTGCAGGGGAAGTGAGAACTCTGAAGGAGGAAGGGGAGTCGGGGAGGCCCTTGGCAGGGTGACGGGGGCCCCTTGGTGAGAACTCTGAAAGAGGAAGAGAAGTCAGGGAGGCTCTTAGCAGGGTGATGGGGGCCCCTTAGAACTCTGAAGGAGGAAGAGGAGTCAGGGAAGCCCTTGGCAGGGTGATGGGGGCCCCTTGGTGAGAACTCTGAAGGAGGAAGAGGAGTCAGGGAGGCCCTTGGCAGGGTGACGGGCGCCCCTTGCCCTCACAGCCCCTGAGCTCCCTGGCTTCTCTTCCTCTTGATAACTTTTGGGTGCTCTGACTTTGCTGCCCTCAGAAACATGTTGCATCTCCCTTGGCAAGCCTTCCTCATGTACTTTCTGGTGCATTTCCTAAGGGCCAGGATTGGAGAGAAGGAAGGGGTCTCCCAGACGTACCCCGTTCTTGCCATTTAACCTTATCTGTGCTACCCTGCAGTTACACTCTCTGCAAGCTCTGACCCAGCTTAGGTTTTGCATCTAACCTTAATAGATTCTTCTAACCTCTTTCTGAACATTGCAAGGATCCTAAGACCCCTTTGTTATTATTAGCTGGCAAAGGCTCAGTTTTCCTCTTCTGAGCTGAACCCGTTATTAAACACATTTGCAAAACTTGCATGGGAGGCTTGAAGTCCACGTCTCAGGTATGAGTGACAGGATGAAGACCAGGGCATTCCGATTGCTTGAGTCAGGGGTGTGGGTCATGCAGTGACCAGTTTGTGCTGGATGAATGTGGGCAGTGACCCTGTGTGAGGTCGTAAGCTTTGCTGTGCCTTTGTAATCCCAGGGATGGATTCGACTAAACCATGTCCTCTCTCTCCAAGTAGTTCTTTGGGCACTGGTGAATATGTGCGTGTTGTTACCTATTATTAGTTGTGCACATTACGAATAATCCATACACATGTCTTTTTCTGAGCTGTGCTTGCTGGCCCAGAAGAGGTGAAGGGTGGCTCCAGTCCCATTTATGTGTCGATTAATGAATGGAAGGAATTGGCTGGGATAAACCTGATGCTCTCAAGGAGACTCTGCAAAGACCTCTGCCTCACTGATGTGCTAATGGAGTATTTGCTCAGGGGCAGCATGTTGCCCGGAGCAGAGTAGCCGTCGTGTAGACAGCAAGAACTGAGGAGGTGGAGCCCGGGCTGCCTTTGTGGGCTTTGCAGACTAAATTCGGCTGCAAACTCAGGTGGAAAATGCAAATCAGGTAACGGAGTCAGTGATAAATCGATGAGTGAAGATGAAGTATACCTAGCTTTTAAAAAATGAAAGGGAGGATCTGCCACAGGTGGTAACCCTTAGAGACAGTGGACACGGGAAAGAGGCAGCTAGCCCAGCCCAGCACCTCTGCACACAGGGTTCACTCTGCAGAGCTGCTGGGAGTGGAGAGGGAGTGGGCATTCCACAGCTACACCTGCAAGACAGGGCCGTTGCCCTGGGTGCAGTGCAGAGGCAATGCATCCTCAGCTTATTCTGACATTTACCTCCATCCGCGTGTTTCCAAGGCAAATCCACCACACATTTCTGAAACACCCTCCCGGGAATCAGTCGTTCGTCACCACGTTTCAGCGGGACTCAAAGCTGAGCTCATGCTGTGATGAATGCCTTTTCTGTTTCTACCAGTGTGATCTTCCAGGCTTTAAACTTGCCGTTATTTCTGACCAATTCATTTCAGTTAAGGAATTTTTGAGTGTCTGCTATGGCCCTTTGTAATATGATCAGTGGACTGGAAGTGAAACCCCAGCCAGTGCTGCTCTGGGTATCTGATGGGAGCTTGATGTCTCTCTGTTTATTTTTACCCACCAGTGGGTATCATGATTCTGAGACACTGGCCCCACTGCCCTGGCTTCCTGGCCCTACCTGGGACCTTCTGATGGTCTTGTCCATTTTTATGGTCCTCCGGGATCTGCCCCAGGTTCTAGAAATGAAAGCTCTGCCCAGCCCAGCAGAGAGCCTCCAGGATCTGTGGAGGCTCTGTGCTCTGTGGCCTTACCGTCTTTAAAAATTTTGCATCTCACCCCTTCTTACTCCATATAGTGCTTTGTATTTTACAAACCAACAAGTATCATAGTAAAGTGCACTCTCACTATGATTTCAGTCACTGGCACACACACAGGGATGAAGGAAAGCAAAACATTCTACTCTCAACATAGACACACATAGTGTCAAAAAGAGGGCTTGGCTGTTCTCTCCTTGCAAGGCCATGTGTGGGCACCCCCTGAGGTTAGACACAGGCCAAGTCACCACAGGTGCCTTCTTCCCAGCGGGACAGCTGTCCTGCCTCTCCCTGAGCAGGTTATTGAGGGGAGAAGGGTGAACTGCAGACCTGCCACAGGGAGGTAGAGAGACGGAAGAGAACCAGGGCCAGTCTGTCACCTTCGGAGGTGACCTGAACTTGGGAACCTCCCCACCCCTCTGAACTGCGGGGGAGTTTCCCGCGCTGTCACCCAGGCTGGAGTGCCACGCTGCAATCACAGCTGCCTGTAGCCTGCACCCTCCAGGCTCGAGTGATCCTCCCACCTCAGCCTCCCAAACAGCTGTGACTACCTGCAGATGTGTGCTACCATGGCTGCCTAATTTTTTTTATGTTTAATATTTGTTAAAGATGGGGTCTCACCATGTTTCCCAGGCTGTCCAGCCTCAGCCTCCCAATGTGTTAGAGTCACAGGTATGACAAAAGCACCCTCCCTGTTGTCAACGTTCTGTCTTACTCGTGGCATAAAACTCCCTTAAGAGGGGATTTATGGCAATCCTCATTTCTCAGAATTTTATGCTCTTCCTCAGAACGGGAATTCCAAGAAGGCATCTTTCTGCACTTGTTGATTCTCAGTGACCTTTTGCTCAAAATAATCCACATCCCAAAGTGACACATTTTGGGGTGATGTCTTCTGAGCCACTTCACTCGGCATTGATGGAGGCTTATGTCCCAGGGCTGCTGCTGCTTGTGTTTCAGTTGCTCAGTGTCTCCACTTGGCTCCCATCTGTCTGACTCAGTTGAGTATGGTGTCCTGGCTGGATGCCTCCTGTCCCTGCTGAGGCCGAGCTCTGAGAGTGATTCTCACATCGCATTCCTACCCTCAGTGCAAATCTTATGTGCTGGGTTTTTCACGTAAGGGATTGAGGTTTAGCACAGTGCTCAGGAGTCAGACGTCATTGAGTTTGAACCGCTGCGACTGATGGTAACGGGTGGTGACCGTGGCCAGGTCACCTTCCAGAGGAGTCTGCATTTCCCCACCCCACAGTATGATAAAGGCTCTGCATCCATTTGTGTTCACACACGGAGAGGAAGTTAGCTTCCATTATTGGGAATCGCAGAGTAATGAGGAAATGAACAAATGGATGCAAACCCTGTGGTCTCCTCTCTCCCTGACAACCCTGGCCATGCCGGGGTCTGGGTGGGCAGGCCATGCCGGGGTCTGGGTGGGCAGGCCGTGCCGGGGTCTGGGTGGGCAGGCCGTGCCGGGGTCTGGGTGGGCAGGCCGTGCCGGGGTCTGGATGGGCAGGCCGTGCCGGGGTCTGGGTGGGCAGGCCGTGCCGGGGTCTGGGTGGGCAGGCCGTGCCGGGGTCTGGGTGGGCAGGCCGTGCCGGGGTCTGGGTGGGCAGGCAGGCGTTCTCTCCACCAGTCTCCCAATGGAACCACGCGTACCCTGTCCTGGCCTTCGCTGGCTACAGCCCCAAGTCCTAGCTTCCTCCCCTGAGACTCCAGAGTCTTTGATATGCTGTCTCTTGGCTAGTTATCATTCTCTCTCACAGATTTCAAGTCCCTTCAGGGACCATGGAGGCCCAAGGGGACCCTGTGCCATATTATTTCCGGTTTCTATTGCTCTACACAAGGAAGAAGCCAGTGTTTTCGTGTGTGCAGTGCTCCTGGCCTCGGGGTGGGCTGGCCTCGGGGTGGGCTGGCCTCGGGGTGGGCTGGGTTTTAGTTTGGAACCATTGCTTGTCCTCCTCCAAGGTAGGCAGAGTCCAATTTGGGCTAAATCCCTCCCTTGCTCTGAGTCAAATAAGGTCTGGGTAAGAGAACTTCCATTCC